ATGTTGATCTGCTAGAAATCCAGTGAGCTCCTAACTTCCTGCCTGATCTGACAACACAGTGTCTCTGCTACACTGAAATCCTAAGCAGTAATGTCAGCCATGCCCAGGAAATTAGGAGCTCACTGGATTTCTGGCATGATCTTTCTTTATTTGCCACACTTTTAAAGGAATATAAAATGGAGATGTATGCATGTGTTTCAGAGATGTACTGAATAAAAGTTTATTTTTTGCCCAGACTTATACCAAGCATGTGTGGTCGAAAATAAAGGAAACTCATACTGGAGAAAAATAAAGACTGCCATTCCTGCTTAAACAAAAGCTAGTTGCCTGGCTGACTTTAGCTTCAATACGTCAAGTAACCAACCTAGAAAAACAAGCACTGAGATCAATACATCAGAATTCCTAATCAGCACACTTATTCTGAAGCCGTTAGATTAACACGATAGCCAGGGGACTAGTATTTTGAACAGTAGAGGTCAGCAATGGAAGTCTCCATACTTCCCCAGTAGGAGGTTGACCTTACACTGCTGCCCTCTGACCACTACGCCCATGTCTTTCCCTAGACCAGGAGTACGCAAATTCCGGCCCTCCACCTATGGTGAAACTAAAGTTTCCATCATGCTTCTGCCAGGCAGAGGCATGCCTGTGGCTGTCAGAGACTTGCAATGCCTAATAGGATTTGTAGTTGCACCACAGCTGGAGTTTGCCTACCCCTGCCCTACATGGCAATGCTTTGCAACATCCTTCCTTTCTTACAATTTAAATTGAATCATTGCGATGCATAAAAGGTGCCCCTACTCTGGGCGGATTTCTATCGTTTTTTTAATGTACCGGCCGAAATACGCACAGTGTATGGGGCTGTTGGCTCCCTTTATCAGCTGATCAAAGGAGCTGGCTGGAAAATTTTAAATCGATCGGAGCCGGCAGCCAATTAACTGCTTGCTCCGATCAGGTATTCGGACAGGTGCCAGCGGAACCTGTCAGAATACAATGTAAACTGCGGGATTCTTCGATCAATGCGCAGTTTGTGTTGATGGAGGAATTGCGTCAATTTTTTTTCCTTCAGCCTGTGGGTTGAACGAAGAAAAATTGATAGATGTATGGCCAACCTAAGGCTAACAGCCCAATGATTAACAGAGTTGAAGAGCTGTGCAATCAGTGAAAGCCTAGATCTCTGGACTTAACTGCTAACCTTGTCAGTGTTCTGATACTTTGCTTACATGTCTTTACATAGTAACAACACACAATAAATATTGTGGATGATGTTTTCTTATAGAGCACTTACAAGATGCTGTTGAGCTCCTGAAACTGTTCCATGGCAGTACTGCACCAGCACTGGTCCTTAGGGCTCTCGCAACCAGCACACTCAGAGTCCTCTAATGCTGGGTCCTCGGAGTCACTCTCCTGCTCATTCATGCTGCTGTCACAGTCGCCGACACTATCGTCCCCTCTCTTTTTCTGCCTCATGTAAATCTTAAACGTCCGACTATAAAACCGCTGGACCATGTTTTGGAAAGTCTTGGAGGTGGAGAAGAAGAGGATAGCTTTAAACATGGTGAACACTTTATCTCGCAAGATCTGGGAATCAGAGCCATGCAAGAAGCCCATATCTGCCCAACTACCCAGGATGTCCAGGCTTTTTAGGTATGGTTCCAAACGGGACAAGAGGAGGCGGAAGGTGTCCAGTAAGAGCAGTACGCATTCCTGTTCTTCAACAGCGTTCTCTTGCTGGTTGATGCCATTCCAGAACTCAGGAGCAATGTTCCTCTGCAGATCCATCTGCAACACTTCGGTGAACCATTCTTCAACCACACCATGTAGGCCACAGACGCGTAGCACATCTAAGGCTATTTTAAGATCACTTTCCCTGATCGACGCATCGGGACCAGATCTAGGAGCAGCCTGTAACAAGAACAAACAGAACTCTAGATCCAAATTTATGAGTGGAATGCAACAGGTTAAAAACAAATGTAATGGGTGCTATTATCTGTTGACTTGGGTAGCACTCCTACGTTACAAACACAGGGCCCTCTATTCAGTTTCCACAAATTCTCATCTTTATTGTATGTACTTCACAATTCATCATTCTGTCATGAATTAAATATGTAGGCGGTCATTGCCAAACTTTACCTGAAAATGCCAGCTGCTCCGTTTTCATAATCCTGAGCCACAGATTCAGGAGAAGGATACAGATGAATGCCACAAAACTGCTTGAACTCCTTACCGCAATCATTGTTTTACGTCAATGAAAGCAGTGAGTCCAAAGCAGCAGTGTGACAGCCAAGCAATAAGCATTTTCCAAAGAATTTAGAAATATGAGCCTATATATTTCTCTTGACAGGTTACTTTAATTTGCTCAAAACCAAAACTCAACCATCCTGTGTATAGGTTTGATGGTGATGTTGGACCAAGCTTGATCCATCAGATTTATGTGAACGCCTGAATGTTTTATGTATGTGCTGCATGAACAAGTATGCTTTGTTGCAGCTTCCTGGTTACCCTCCATGATTTTGTTAACACACACACACACTATTTATTGTAGCAATTCCAATACATTTAGGCTGTAAACCCCTGAAGCAATATATAGGTCATGTCACACTAGTAATCCAGTCCCTGGCCTGAACGCATCAAAAAAGCCTTCCGTTGCTTCTATGGTTTCACTCCCTCATTGATCACACCAGCATGGTACTGCTCTCTTACCAATGCTCAAAATTCAGCAGCACTGCCACCAGCAAGGCACCAACACCAAAAGGAGAAGGGAAGCGCTCTCTACCGGAGGGGTGGACAAATTCATATAGAATTCAGGAGCTAGTAGAATGTTTTTAGGAGCCAGCTTCATTAACAACTAGATAAAAACCTCGAAAAACCTGATGCACAAACTGTAAATTTTAAGGAGCATTGGCTACCTGTATTTAACCAGCCCTGATCTACAGCAATACTTATTCTGGAGATTTGCTGTCAATGACAGTACATCTAGTGTGACATGGCCATATCAATGAAAAGCCAAGGGGAAGAGGCACAGGTGTGAGCAGCAGAAGTCATTACTGCAAACAAACAAGAACACAGATGATTCCTATTTCCAATAGTTATATTAGCTGACTAGTGAGATTTATAATTCAGTCACATGACTGAAAATAAAGATCATTATCCTTGCATAAAAGCTTTATGAACTCAGCCTATAGTGTTGAACCAGAAGCATGTCAGAAGTATTCATGCCTAAATCACTACAAACCTGAACTTACACTCATACCACCAAAAAATTAAAGTGACACTATACGCAGGAGTTAAATCTTAAAAATACATTCAAGTACCTGAATTATTAACAACAATGTACCTTATTTGTGTATAACTCAGCTGTAGCTCCTCAAATCATCTGTGAATTGGTGCTGACACTGCCCTTCCTTCTGTAGAGTGACTACTTTTGTTCCCCATGGTCCCTGTGTGTGTTGTAAAGTGGCCACCAATCCAAGCTCGCTCCCGTGATGGGCTACAATCTACATTTTTGTTAATAGTTAGGGTACTTGAATGCATGTTTAAGATTTAATTCCTGAGTTTAGTGTCACTATAAGCATTTCAGGATTCTTCTGGTGCAGCAGAGGACTACGAGCTCCATGATTCGTTCTGCCCACTCAGACTACAAATCTCAGCATTCATCTTACCCAGTGGACAACTCCCAATGGCCTAGCTACAGATTTAGGGGACCACTCCATAGCCAAGAGAAGGGCCCCCATCTAAAATTAGGACCTTTCCAGCAACCATGTCAGTTAGTGACAGAAGCTCAGAACATCAATATCCTGTGACGGAAGATTTATACTTCCCTGTCCAGCAGCAACAGTGCTGAAACGGCTCTCTTACACAGATACTACCCCACATTTGAGGTAGTGTTGACCAGTGTGTCCCCAACAGATAGGCTTTCCCCTGTGGAACTGCAGCAGTAACATGGGGGTCAGCAGGAAGAACCATTGCAGCCAATAGGGGGGCACACTATTAGACATTCCCTGAAGTGTGGGAAAAGTCTTCAATCCCCCTTGACCAGGTCACTTTAATGAATTTATTTAGGTACAGAACCCCAGTAGGTTTTAAATGCTGTCTTTTTCTTTACAGCGAGATCCACCCTCTCAATTTAGTCAGATGTCTGGTGCCATTGGGACAAGAAAATGGGGGGGGGGCGGGTTCCAAACAGTTTACAGTTGTCAATGGAACAGGAAATCTTCTGATGAAGACATCGGGTCTGATGACAACTGAAAGAGGGGATTACCATCAGAAATGTATTTTTCTTTTTTTATGTAATTTTTCCTTGCTTTAGCCAAAACTTAAAAAAAAAAAAAAAGGCTCAGCTTTAGATGCACTTTATTTACACCAGACTGCATGTCTACCATTGTGGTGGGGAAGAAAGGTGGGGAAGACAACACTGAGGCACCAATTCCAACACCTCCCTGCAGGCATGTTCCAGCATTCACTCACTCCATTAAAGAACTAGAGGTGCCAAACAGGCCCTGTCCGCTACTACCCATTCTTCATCCTGGCCATTAAAACACTGCAATCAAATTAGCAATCAACTGTGGCTGCGGTGCACAAATAGCTGTAAGCAGGGCATGCTGGGACTTGTAGTGGCACAATTGTAAGCTTTGCATAGCGCTGACGTCTTGCCAGCCTCCATTCAGCGGAGAGGACACTGACCAGCCCCAGGGCGGAGGCGGGGACCAGGCCCAGGCTCAGGGTGTTCCAGGCAGCGGACAGCTTCTCCGGGCTGCAGGGTGCCATCCCTTTTCTGCTGTCTCTCCCGAGCGGGCCCGTCGCACGTCCACACGTCACTTCGGTCCGCGGCAGATGACGTTGCAGCGCCGGGCTACCTGTCGCCATGGCAGCCAGAAACGCCGTCCTGCTGCGCGCCGAAGACATCTTTCCGGATCACGTGTAGCCTTCACACCGGGTTTTTATAGGCCGCTGAACGGGAGATAAAGGGTGACGTCTATATAAGGGAGTGCCCTAGGAGAAACGACAGCGGTTCGGTGGCCGCTGCGGAGCCCGGGAAAGATGAGCCAGCAGGGGGCTGCACTGCAGACCTATAACAACGAGCTGGTGAAATGTGAGTGAACCTGGCCGTGACCTCTGACCTTTCCTGGGATCCCCTCCCCGTCTCTGACCTATGACGATCCCCAACCTGTCTCCCCCTGACCTCTCTATCACATGATCCCCCACCTGCCTTCCTCTGACCTTCCCATCATCCCATGGATCCCCCACCCTTCTCCCTCTGACCTCCCTATCGTTCCATGATCCCCCCCACCCCTCTGCCTCCCCATCATTCCATGATCTCCCACCTTTTTCCCTCTGACCTTTCTATTGTAACGTGCTGTAGCTATATTGATAGAAATGTGAGTACAAAAGCAAAGCCATATGTAGAACACATCTTTGGCAGGTGAATGGAGGAAGGAGACTTTTTTTTTTTTTTAATGAGCGCTGTAGAGAAGTGTGGAACCCAGAGGGCTGCGTCGGAACGAGGAGCAGGATGCCCGGAGGGCTGCTTCGGAACGAGGAGAAGGGTGCCCGGAGAGCTGCGTCGGGGCGAGGAGCAGGGTGCCCGGAGAGGGCTGCGTCGGGGCGAGGAGCAGGGTGCCCGGAGGGCTGCGTCGGAACGAGGAGCAGGGTGCCCGGAGGGCTGCGTCGGAACGAGGAGCAGGGTGCCCGGAGGGCTGCGTCGGAACGAGGAGCAGGGTGCCCGGAGGGCTGCGTCGGAACGAGGAGCAGGGTGCCCGGAGGGCTGCGTCGGAACGAGGAGCAGGGTGCCCGGAGGGCTGCGTCGGAACGAGGAGCAGGGTGCCCGGAGGGCTGCGTCGGAACGAGGAGCAGGGTGCCCGGAGGGCTGCGTCGGAACGAGGAGCAGGGTGCCCGGAGGGCTGCGTCGGAACGAGGAGCAGGGTGCCCGGAGGGCTGCGTCGGAACGAGGAGCAGGGTGCCCGGAGGGCTGCGTCGGAACGAGGAGCAGGGTGCCCGGAGGGCTGCGTCGGAACGAGGAGCAGGGTGCCCGGAGGGCTGCGTCGGAACGAGGAGCAGGGTGCCCGGAGGGCTGCGTCGGAACGAGGAGCAGGGTGCCCGGAGGGCTGCGTCGGAACGAGGAGCAGGGTGCCCGGAGGGCTGCGTCGGAACGAGGAGCAGGGTGCCCGGAGGGCTGCGTCGGAACGAGGAGCAGGGTGCCCGGAGGGCTGCGTCGGAACGAGGAGCAGGGTGCCCGGAGGGCTGCGTCGGAACGAGGAGCAGGGTGCCCGGAGGGCTGCGTCGGAACGAGGAGCAGGGTGCCCGGAGGGCTGCGTCGGAACGAGGAGCAGGGTGCCCGGAGGGCTGCGTCGGAACGAGGAGCAGGGTGCCCGGAGGGCTGCGTCGGAACGAGGAGCAGGGTGCCCGGAGGGCTGCGTCGGAACGAGGAGCAGGGTGCCCGGAGGGCTGCGTCGGAACGAGGAGCAGGGTGCCCGGAGGGCTGCGTCGGAACGAGGAGCAGGGTGCCCGGAGGGCTGCGTCGGAACGAGGAGCAGGGTGCCCGGAGGGCTGCCTCGGGGCGAGGAGCAGGGTGCCCGGAGGGCTGAGGTGCAGGGTGCCCAGAGCGCTGTGTCGGAGTTAATGAAGGGCTGTGTGGGATCTGCTGGATAGCCCTGTTGCAGCTGATTGTCATTGATGTTGTCCTATTGGTACAGGGACACAATGGTTGCCTAAAATACTCAGCAAGTGTCTTCCATGTTTTACTGTTTATACGAGGTAATTTGCACAATTCTTACAGCTTCTACTGTCTGATTCAGGTATAGAAGATCTGTGCAGCAAAAGAGATGAGCTGAACCGTCAGGTCCAGCAGGAGGAGGAGGAGAAGAATAAGCTTCAAAATGACATCCGTATCCTGACAGAGAAACTGTCCCGAGTGAACGAGAGCCTGGCAAGGAAAATGGCCTCCAGGAATGAGTTTGACAAAACTATTGCTGAGACACAGGCTGCGTATATGAAGGTAGAGTAGATGAGTGACTATTTTGCAACTCCATATAACTAAAGCTGGCCATACACTATAATATTTTCTTCGTTCAACCTGTGGGCTGAATGAAGAAAATATAAACGATTCTTCCATCAACGCTTAAGAGCATTAATCGAGGAATCTCCCGCTGTTTGCATTATATTCTGACGGCCGCTGTCGAAATACCCAAATGAGTAGAGCTTATAGGCTGCAAGCTTTGTTCATTTGAAGATTTTCTGGCCAGCTCCTTCGATCAGCTGATCCAGGGGTGCCGACAGCGGTGTATGGCCAGCTTAAAGTGACATTAAACCCTCCAGATTTTTTAACATAAAACAATACTGTAATGTGTGCCTTACTGTAATCCATGGTTGTTTCCCTTCTCTTTGCTGCTCTTCCTTTTAAATCTGTATCTGTTCTCATGCTGGGCAGAACTTCTGTTTTTCAGCAGACTGCCTTGTCTCTGGAATGGATACATGGGTGTCTGTGTGTAGGTTCACAACCTGAGCCAGCACTACAGGAAGAGGCACTCAGCTGCAAAGGGAAGTTCTCCCCAAGCATGAGAAGACATGAGGATTTAAAAGGAAGAGCAGCAAAGAGAAGGGAAACAACCATGGATTACAGTAAGGCGCACATTACAGTATTGGTTTATGTTAAAAAATCTGAGGGTTTAATGTTACTTTAAGGATTAGATTTACTGATCCTTAGTCATTGAACAGATGCAATGCTGCCCTGGATGTAACAGTTGAGACAAGTCTGAATCTGATTGGTGGCTCTCAGTAAAGCTGGTCGTACATGGCTCAGATTTTGGCTGACGTATGCGAATCAACTGAAGGTCCAGCCATGGAGGGCCCTGTTGTCACAGGGCTACACAAACATCTATTAAACTGGGTGGAAGCAGTCACTGTTCGAGTATTCAGACAGCCACAGGTGTTGCAGCTCTGAGCTGTCGCTAGTAGTTGGCAGGGCAGATTCCTCCATCCATGCTGTTTCACACGAATGGGAGAATTGATGGACTGTGGGGCTGACCAAGAGAAATTGAATAGTGTATGGCTAGCCTAAGTTGGTTGAATGTCTTTATGCTGCAACCAGGGATGCACCGATATTACGGCCACCGAAGCATATCGTTCAAAAATGGCACTTTGGGCAAAATGCCGAAAGTGCCATCTTTCACCCGACATTGGGGTGCATCTCTAGTTTCTCTCCTCCCTGCTGTGCGCTGCTCTGTGTCCGCTCTGACACAGCGCAGCGGGCAACTGTCAGAAGAGGCCGAGTGGGGCAGAGAGGAGAGCTATGTGAGCCACAATGTCGCAGGAGGCTGAGCTCTCCTCCCACACCGCCCCTCACAGAGTCCTGTGACAAATCTGGATGGAGAGCAGTGTATGGGCTGAGACAGCTGTGAGCTGTCACAGGAGCCCGAGGGGGAGGAGTCAGCTGTCAAACTAGACGAGCTCTATGCCCCGTCCGCCGGCTCAGCCTCCTGTGAGAGCAGATCCTGGATGGAGAGTGGTATACAAACAGTCATTGACTGCTGACTGTAAATAACTGGATATAGTATGAGTTACTATGTACCAGTTATAAATGAATAGGAAGTGATAATACATCACTTCCTGTTCATTCATGATTGTGTGCATAGTAACTCATACTATATCCACAGTTTATGAATGAACAAACGCTCATTATGGAGGCTGCCTGTTCATTTATAACGGAGGATGCAGAAACAGGGATTAAGGGGACACACAATCTCTCTATTTTAAAAGGGATATATCATGGATCTGTTAAGACGCCTGATATTTACCCGAAGTCCCAACAGTAAAGTTAAAATAAACAAATGTAAAAATAAAATAATTTTTTTTTTTTTAAAAAGGTTAGAAAAAAAAGTCAGTTTCGGCCTGACTTTGTAAAAAATTTTATTTTCAGTTTCAAAATGTAATTTCGGTGCACCTCTAGCTGCAAGTTTTTAGAGACCCGTCACTTCATTGATTGAATTGACAGTACTGTGAATGCACACTGCCTGATCATGGCAAATGCTGGCAATATCAGTGTGAAAGTACAGCCTCTTCAGGGCTAAGGGTGGCAACATCACTGCACCCTGCCTGTTCACTGCATAAGGCGGATATATTACTATGCGTATTGAATGCATAGCTATATTACCCATGTGTTTAATGCAAAGCACGGAGACCTCACTATGCATGCACCCTTTCTATTCACCACAAAGGGCAGATATAACTGTGCATGTACCCTGCCCAGTCATTGCAAAGGGTATAGACATCACTATGCATGCATTCTGCACTTTCACCTCAAAGGGCAGAGGTATCACTGTTCTAATTAAACCTAAAAGGAGGATGTAACCAATCAGCTTCTTCTTTGTAGTTTGTTCAGTTAAGCATTGAAAATGACACCTAGAAGCAGATTGGTTTCCATTTACAGCTGCTCCAGATACTGCTTGCTCCAGTTTTGATCTATTCCCCTCAAAAATGTGTATTTATAACTGCACATGCCCCTTCACTGCATAATGGGGGGAGACCTCACGATGCATGCACCCTGCCCATTTACCAGAGACATTTGGATGGAGACATTTCTGCACTTGTACTCTGCCAAGGGTGGCTATATCGCTGCGCGTGCACGCGGCTCATTTACTGCAGAGGCTGGGAACATCACCTCCAGAGGAAGTGAGGAAAGCAGTGGTAACACCGATACCTGATAACTTTCTTCACTCTGCTAGAAATTGTTACTGTAACAATGTTCTCTTGCGAACAGTATTAAAGGAGAACTATGGGGTCAGTGCTTTTCCCCATAGTTATCCTAAGGGTCACGGGAGGACATATACTAGCGTCCTCCCGTCACCCAAAGCTCAGTATACCGCGAGCTACAGCTCACGGTATACTGAGACGCCGCAGCCGGGACATATCCCGACATTACTGTCGAGATCCACCCAGCTGCATGATTGACAGCTGACTCTGCCTATCTAGAGGCAGAGCCAGCTGTGCCCTCCCCCGTCCGTTCCACCAGTCACCGCTGGAGGGGGGGGGATCCCTGCAGGAAGCCGTGAGTGAGTCACGGCTCTCTGCAGGGACATGATCGAGAAGTGAGCGAGCGACAGTATGTGTTCGCATGTGTCCGATCTATTGAGCTGACGTGTGATAGTCTCATTGTCACAGGTCGGCTCGAACTATGAAATTGAGTGAAAATCACTCACCTCATAGTTCTCCTTTAATGGGAAGATTGTCAGTCAGTTTCCATTAATCACCGCAAAAGTGTACTATTCACTAGGTGTGCACGTATCTTAAGTTGTTTATTTGATTTCATCTAGTAGAGGGAAAATTCTCACAAGAAATTCTCTGACCTTTTTTAATGTTTCAGATCCTGGAGAGCTCACAGACTTTACTGAATGTGCTGAAGAGAGAGGCTGGTAATTTGGGCAAGGCAACGGAAGTGCAAGGAAGCTCAAGCACATAACCACCAGTGCTGGATTTTATATTGCTTTTTGGGTCTCAGATTAAAACTCCTTTATTTTTTTGGCAGGGGTTAATGGTATTGTAATTTTTAAAGGGTGATTTTTTATATTTAAAACTGTAATCAGAGCTTAATAAATATTGTCTAAATACAAGCATAACTTGTTCTTTGTTGAGTTTTGGTGTGCTTTGTGTGTTTCTTCCAGGCCTGTGCAGTAATCCAAAATGAAACCACTCCTGCACTTTTCTTCTGTGCAGAGTTTTCTGGTATAATGCTCTTCCCCTTGTACAGGGTGACTGGTCTTGTATCCACCCCTTCCTCTAGTTTTCTGCAGGTAGCCTGTAGTGGGTTTACCAGCTATGCCCCACCAACAGCTCTGCTCTCTGCACAGACAATGAACAGACCAGTGATCATGTGAAGGCATTTGGTACACACAAAGTGAGTTTCTATCCTCTGTGGCTATGAAATATGTTTTTAAGTGGAAGCCTTTGTCTGGAGTTAAGTTTTAATATAGTTTTGGTTTATAAACTAAAACACACTTTACATAAGCTAATTACACAAAACAAAAGGGTGGTTGGGGAAATCTTCCCATGTGGTCACCTGATCAATGAGAGAGAGGGTGGTTGGGGAAATCTTCCCATGTGGTCACCTGATCAAAGAGAGAGAGAGGGTGGTTGGGGAATTCTTCCCATGTGGTCACCTGATCAATAAGAGAGACAATTTCCTCTCGCTACTTGTCGTTGACCCATTAAAATAATGCTAAACTGGATTTGCAGAGGAAACATCTAGTGAAAGGCTGGCAACAACTAAATACTTTTTTTAACCACTTCAGGACTGTTGTACTTGTATATACTGTGCAATCCTGGTCCTAAAGCTGCAGCTGTGATCTTGGTATTGGTTTCTTCAGCTGGCACCCGGCTGTACATCTGCCCGATTGCTTGTATGCCACTAAAAGGGTGCGCACTATCCCAAGCTTCTCCTCCTTTGTATGGGACTGGCACTTCAGGTGTCTGTGGTTGCACCAAAGGGCTGATCTCACTCCCAGTTACTAAATCCACAACCGATGAGGATTTCATCATTTCTGGTTTCAGGTTATTGTGGATTGAGAAGCTGTGAAGCATGACCTGTGATTCATGACCTGCAGTGCGGTCCATAGGTGACATTAGGGGTCCCAGATGTCTCCAGAACTGAAGGTCCTGTCACTTTCTCTGTGCTATCACATAGGGGGCTATGTGATAACAATACTATTGTGTGTAAAATAAATAAAAAATGTAAAGTGACATAAAAGAAAAATTAAGCCCTCCACCCCCATGTACACACACATACAAATGCAAACACATATCACATGCGCATAGGTGCAAAAACAATTGTGCCGCACATGTTACATATCACCATGAACGTTGGAAAGACAGATTCATAATTTCAGGGCCATCACTCGCTTAATTCTAAATTGATACGTGGGAATAGATTTCAAAATTTCTCCAATGGGCAAATTTGGGTATCACAGTTTCTGCCAATTAATGGACAGGTGCAATTTTAAGGCTTGACACGTTTGGTATCGATTTAACTGATGCAACCCCATCTTTTATATTTTACCCCAAAAAATGATTATTATATTGTGTTTTTGAGATCTAAAAGTCATTTTAGTGTAGCTTTTCATAAACGTATCCATTCTAGGAAACATTGACCACCTGATGTTTGTAGGCAAATTAGCTATAATTTTCGCACTGTAGTTGCTAGAGGGCCAGACCATTATAAATAGGGAAGCAGGTTGTTTACCACGACAGTAGAAGTGACTTTTTTCTGAAGATATGGGTAAACAATGCGATTTAACAGCCTTTGAACGTGGGATGATTGTTGGCGCTCTGAGCCATGGAGCGAGTATCAGCAAAACAGCAGAATTTGTTAAATGTTTAAGAGCAGCTGTTGTTAAAGTGTTTAAAGACTGGACTGTCAGCCGAAAATCTTGGTCTGAACGTGTGAATTGTGGCCGTCAGCGACTAGTGAAGGTTAGGGCAGAACGGAGAGTGGCAAGACTGGTACAAGACAACAGAAGGGCAACAGTGCAGTGTCAGATTCCTCGCATCAACTTTCAACATCTCGTGGAGTCACGAGGCGGCCCAACTATGTCCTCTCGTGGAGTCATCTCGTGGCCCAACGAAGTACTAATGGGGTGGTCATAATAATCTGGCCACTCAGTGTATATATACAGTGCGTCTCTGCTCTTAGAAAATATATCATCGTTTTAGGGGTTTTTAACCATTTTTTTATGCAAAATTTCATATACAGGCAGTCCCCGGGTTACGAACAAGATAGGGACTGTAGGTTTGTTCTTAAGTTGAATTTGTATGTAAGTTGGAACAGGTACATTTTTTTAAGTGTAACTTCAGCCAAAAAAAAAATATTTTTTGTTTTGGATAGCATAGGGAAGGATTAACCCCCTGTAAAGTTTGTTTTGCCTCCGCTGGACCCTCTGCCTGCGCCTTTGGCACCTGAGTTGTCTCATCTGCAGGTCCAGACGGCCATTACCTATTTGGGCATACAACTAACGGCTTCTCCCCTTGACTACCTCTCTCTGAATTTGCTCCCCCTGCTGACAAGGTTTAGGTCTCAACGGACAGCCTGGGCTAAATTACCGCTCTCGGTGGCTGGTAGGGTGAATTTGATCAAAATGATATGGTTGCCCCAGTTATTATATGTCATCCATAACTCTCCGATGTGGATCCCAAAAAAGTCCTTCCGCCTGATTGACGGGATATTCAGGGACCCGGTCTGGAGGATGAAATCCCCCCGGCTGCGTCTTGATGTCCTGCAGCGTCCAAAGGCTTATGGGGGGCTGGCTTTGCCGAACCCCTGGTTTTACTTTGTGGCCTCACAGGTGCCACATTTGGCTGCCTGGGCGGCGGAGGACGATCCCCCACAGTCCCTTGTACTTCTGAAGCATTTGTTTCACGGGTTGGACCCTTTGTGTTACCTGGACAGTGACATGTATGTTAAGAGACACTCCGCACTTCCTACGGTGCGCTTGATGGGACAGGTTTGGGCTACCGCCAAGCGAGCCTTGGGGGTGGACCAACTAACTCGTTACACTCCTTTGTGGCAAAATGGCATGCTATCGGAGCTTCTTCCCCTCCAGGGTACGGTGGACTGGACCCGTAATGGGGTTGTATCAGTCTCTCAGTTGTATCCTGGGGGGAATTGTGTTCATTTGAGCATCTGGTCTCCACCTTTGGGCTTTCTCGCAGGTGCCAGTTTCAGTTCCTCCAGGTGCAACATGCTCTACGGGCACAGTTTGGGCAGGACCCCCCTAAGTTCTCACCTACTCCGACATTGGATGCGGTGTTATTAGGTACTCGCACCAAGGGAGTGATCTCCTTTCTGTACAGTCACCTCCTCCGTAAGTCTGATGTTCTTAACCCATTGAAGTGCAGGGAGGAGTGGGAGTCAGACCTGGGAACTATGTCAGATGAGGATTGGGAAGATGTCCTTCAGGGGGTTGAACAGGTGTCATTGTCGCCCAAGCATAGGCTGACGCAATTGTTCATTGTCCATAGCATTTACAGAACCCCAGAATTTTTGTTCCGTATTGGGTACAGAGCTGACCCAAATTGTCCGAAGTGTGGCCCCCATCAGGGTTCTTTAATCCATCTCCTTTGGAGATGCCCCAAACTAGTGAGATATTGGGGTAAGGTTCTAGAGGTAATTAACGTTGTCTTTGAATCCTCCTTGAATAACACCCCACTGGTTTGCCTTCTTGGATTGCTGGAGGCACCGGAGATGACTCCTCACACATCGCTTGCTATAAAGAGGGCCCTGTTTACTCCGTCCAGGTTGGTGGTGCGGAAGTGGGTTTCCTCCTCCCCCCCACACTGGAGCTATGGCTGTTAGAACTGGACAGAATGGTAGAGTTTGAGAGGGTCACATATAAGCAGAGAGGGAGCCTGAACAAATTTGAGAAATTGTGGGCCGCATGGCAGTCTTACAGAGGAAGGGCGGCACGTGGGAGCACGGGTTAAGGAGGGTGAGCTGTCTGGAGGCCGGTCTTGTGGCTCTGGGTTATATCTGTGATGGATACTGGGATTGGGCCGAATGTCTAGAATCATCTGTGAGACTGAGCTGGTTGGATATTTGGGTGGGAAGATCCATGGTGGACGGCTCATTGCGATGCTATTGTATGTACGCATAATGTATGTACGCCTCTGTATTGTCTTACTTTTTTTTTTTTTTGGTTTGTTTTACTTTGGTTTGTGTCTTGTATTGAAGTGTATTTTCTTTTATTTTAATAAGTCTCTGTAACGCTTTGACATTTGACTTCTTACATGTGTGGATTGTTTTTTGTCTGAAAATGCTCAATAAAAAATTATCTGATTTAAAAAAAAAAAAAAGTTTGTTTTGCCATGTTACATAGTATTTGAGGTTGAATAAAGACATTAGTCCATCAAGTCCAACCTATTAGGATCTCATTCTAGGAGTACCCGTACCCCTGTATATTACGGTCCCTTAAGAAATCGTCCAAAAGTTTCTTGAACAATTCCACATTATTTGCTGAAATCACCGCCTGTGGCAGTGAGTTCCAGACCCTAACTGATCTTACTGTGAAGAACCCCCTTCGCCCCTTGTGCTGGAATTTTTTTTCCATCAATTTTAGGTGATGGCCTCTAGTTTTTGTAACGTAGTTAATTTTAAACAGTTTATTGCTAATGTGTGCCCCTGTTCTGTCCCTGTGACAATTGGGTTGTGAAAATTTGGTGTTTAGCTTCAGTGGAGACACCTTTTTCCCATGATAACTCTTACAGGAGTAAATTTCCCTTCCTAGGCGTAGATTTCCTCTCACTTCCTGTTGTCTCAAGGACAGGAAGTGAGATTAAACGTATTTATAATCCCATGGCAAGATCATTGACATGATTAATCTGGTCTCTTTAAGCAGCAACACAGTAGCAATCAATCCAATTTTAGATTGTAAGCTCTCATGGCCTCCAAACCATCTTGTCTTGAATTGTATTGTAACTGAAATGTATTCCTTATATTGCAAGGCCCTGCGCAAACTGTTGGTGCTCTATAAATCCTGTATAATAAAAATACCATGCCTGGAGTATTTTGTGATCACGGACAGTTAATCTCTACTATATATTTCTTGTTGCAGTTTCACCTGTTTAGTAATCAATGACTAGGGGCCACCACCTAAAACTGGTGGAGAAAAGATTTAACCACAAAGGGTGTAGGGCAGGCAACCTTGGCTCTCCAGCTGTGCTGAAACTACAAATCCCATAAGGCATTGCAAGCCACAGGCATGACTCCCAGAGGCAGAAGCATGATGGGATTTGTAGTTTCAGCACAGCTGGAGAGCCAAGGTTGCCTACCCCTGGTGTAGGGGATTCTTTTCAGTTAGAGAGGTTACATTTTGGAACTCTGTGCCACAAGAAGTGGTATCAGCAGAGAGTATTGAATCATTCAAAAAGTATTTAGACACCGTCCTCAGAGACCGTAACATACAGGGGTACAGGTACTCTTAAAAACTAAGACCACACAGGGACTCGTATACACACAGACACACAAAGGTTTAACTGGATGGACCTGTGTTTTTATTCAACCTCAAATACTATGTAACTATCGCTAGCGCATGTAAAGAGGTTTTGGTCATCTGCTTTTTAGTACAACAGCTTCAACATACATTTTCTCAGCCTGGAATTTCTCCCTCCCTTCCTCCCTCCATATGTGGGAATTGGCTAGACACATGTTTTTACACATAATAATTTAACAAAGCCACAAAAAAATATACATATTTTCTGTGTGATCTGGCAAAAAATATGCTGATTCCATCAGCCCAGCTGTTGACATTTAGCTACCGTCGCTGTGATTGGCCTACATTTACCATGTGACTGTCCACTGTGCGTCAAAGTCAGCATGGGGTCTGCACAAGGCGAACTCTACATCATGAAAGATAATATACAGCATATTTAAAATGTATTTGCTTTTAAATATCTTTCACATGCTCTCTAGTCTGTATTTTCAGTAAGTACGCATTGCCCATTATTATATCGCAACATTTTTATTGTGTTTTGTATTTTACATGGCTGCTGTTTGTTTGACATTTTGTATGTGGATTTGCATCTCATCTTGAGGAAATGTTTGTCAGTCTGTACCTACATAGTTGTTCCAGGTCAGTGATTCGTATGGTATCAACATGTGGAGGGGGGGTTGTTGTCAGTGTTGGGCAACTAGATACTTTCCAGAAGGAGCGCTAAACAATAGAGGTCTCTGTGCCTCCAATACGTTTCAGTCTGTTCAGACTTGCTTTGAGGATGAAAGAATGAGAATCGGCAAATCACAGCCATTGTGCTGCACTACTAAACAGGATGCAGCTCCCACATATGTAGTGAGCAAACATGGCTGCCCCCATGTGCCATATTATCCCCAACTATACATGGGAGCATATACATGTCAGATACATGACCTATTGGTGTTGCCCAAAGGCTACCAATCAGATTTAAGGCCTACGCTGGAAACTAAAATTGTATTATGGTTGGTGGCAGTGGGTCAACCAACGCTTTCCATATAGAAGTCTCAATCACTGCCACTGCCTATAGCAGTGATATTAGACACAGAGACGTATTAAGATCCCAACCATTAACACAGTAATGGCTGCAATAAGCACCAGAGATCTCTGCACTATTAGCTCCCTTTTGGACAAAGGCTGCTTCTGATATAAAGATTCAGGTTGGAAGTGCTCATTTTCCACATTGTCCAGTGTTTCATCAGTCTCTAAGTCTTTGCATATTCCCGTCTTTGACTCCTCTCGAGTATCTGTAAATTTAAACAGGAGTTGTTATAAATACAAGGATCCATTGCACCTTTTCATCATTTTTCTATTTTTTAATAGAGTGGAGGTAGGCAACCTCGCCTGTCGTGCAGCTACAACTCCCATGATGTACTGCAAGACTGACAGACACAGGCATGACTCCCAGAGGCACGATGGGATTGATAATATTTCCATAGCTGGAATGCCAAGGTTGCCTACCCCTGTAATAGAGTATGGAATGGTTGATACCCCTATTATTATATATATATATATTTTTT